TTTGGGAGGCCAAGGTAGAAGGATTGCTTGAGCCCAGGAGTTTCAGACCAGCTTGGGCAATATAGTGAGACCTCGTCTACACACACAAAAAAAACAAAACAAAACAAAACAAACAAACAAAAAAACCCCGAAAACAATGTAATTTGCAGTTCTTTTTTTTTTTTTGAGACAGAGTCTTGCTCTGTCACCAGGCGCCAGGCTGGAGTGCAGTGGCGTGATCTCGGCTCACTGCAACCTCCGCCTTCCAGGTTCAAGCAATTCTCCTGCCTCGGCCTCCTAAGCAGCTGGGACCACAGGTGCATGCATCAGCACACCCAGCTAACTTTTGTATTTTTATTTATTTTTATTTTATTTTATTTTTATAAAGACGGGGTTTCACAATATTGGTCGGGCTGGTTTTGAACTCCCGACCTCAGGTGATCCGCCCGCCTTGGCCTCCAAAGTGCTTGGATTACAGGCGTGAACCACCACGCCTGGCCTAATTTTTGTATTTTTTAGTAGGGACGGGGGTTTCACCATGGTCTCAATCTCTTGACTCGTGATCCGCCCGCCTCCGCCTCCCAAAGTGCTGGGATTACAGGCATGAGCCACCACACCTGGCCTGCAGTTCATATTAAAACAGAGTTTTTGAGAGTCTGGAATTCTGGAGTTAGTCAGACCTGGGTTCAAATCCTAGCTGTAGGGCTGGGTGTGGTGGCTAATGCCTGTAATCTCAGCACTTTGGGAGGCCAAGGTGGGCGAATCACAAGGTCAAGAGATCAAGACCATCCTGGCCAGCATGATGAAACCCCGTCTCTACTAAAAATACAAAAATTAGCTGGGCGTGGTGGTGCATCTGTGTAGTCCCAGCTACTTGGGAGTCTGAGGCAGAAGAATCACTTGAACCCGGGAGGCAGAGGTTGCAGTGGAGATCGTGCCACTGCACTCCATCCTGGTGACAGGGCCAGACTCCATCTCAAACAAACAAGCAAACAAATCCTAGCTATATTATCACCTAAGACGTCTTCTTGCCAATAACTTTTAACTTAAGTTTAATAAAGCCTTCTTTTTTTTTTTTTTTTTTTTTTTTGAGACGGAGTTTTGTTCTTGTTGCTCAGGTTGGAGTGCAATGGTGTGATCTCGGCTCATTGCAAATTCTGCCTCGCAGGTTCAAGCAATTCTCCTGCCTCAGCCTCCCAAGTAGTGGGAATTACAGGCACCTGCCAGCACATCCAGCTAATTTTTCTATTTTTAGTAGAGATGGGGTTTCCCTATGTTGGCCAGGCTTCTTTCAAACTCCTGACCTCAGGTGATCTGCCTGCCTCAGCCTCCCAAGGTGTTGGGATTACAGGCGTGAGCCACCGAGCAGGGCCTAATAATAAAGCCTTTTGACCTACTTCCAGTGTAGAGTACAGGGGTCAGGAAAACAAGTTAATCGACACGATGAATAAACAATCAGGCAAGTATAGAATGTGGGACATTCTACAAGAGAACTGGCTTGCACTTCAAAGTCAATGTTGTGGGGAAAAGAAGTGGAGGAGCTTTACTAAGAGACTAAAGCACATATAATAACCAAATGCAATGCACGTACTGAATTAGATCCTGCACGGAAAAAAAATCCAAAAAAACCCTGAGATTTTTGAAACAAGTGGAAAAACAGGAATATGGACTGGATATTAGGTGACATTGCAGAATTATTTTAGCTTTCTGAGGTGTAAGTGTGGTATTGTGGTGATGGTAGAGTGTGTCCTTATTTTTAGGAGCTGAAACATGTGGGGGGAGTCATGATATCTATCCCTCACTTTCAAATGATCCATAAAAAAGCATAAGCTTCACATACCCACAGAGGGTATTTGCTTTATTTGCTGGAAGCAAATATGGCAAAATGGAAACAGCTGTGGAATCTGAGGTGGTGGGTGAACACTAGAAATCTTTCCATTATTCTGCATGTAGAAAACAATCATCATAAAAAGTTAGGGTAGAAACGTTCTGGTGTGTGACCTTGTGCAGTTTCCTTGCCTCTCAGGCCTTCATTTCCCTACTGGTGAAACAAGGTTAAAAATACCAATCCCGGTGGGTCGGTGCTCATGCTTGTAATCTGAGCATTTTGGGAGGCCAAGGCGGGTGGATGGCTTGAGCCCAGGAGTTCAAGACCAGCCTGGGTAACATACTGAGAACCCATCTCTACAGAAAATTTAAAAATTAGCCTGCCGTAGTGGTGCATGCCTGTAGTCCCAGCTACTTGGGAGGCTGAGGTGGGAGGATGGCTTTAGCTCGGAAAGTCGAGTCTGCAGTGAGCTATGATCGAGCCACCAGCCTGGGCAACAGAGCGAGACCCTGTCTCAAAACAAAAAACACAAAAACCAGCCTCACGTGATCCAAGCGCCCAGAGGCTGTGGGTGTTGCAGCCTTAATTATTATTATGACCACCCTCAGCATGGCGTCTGGTACACAGGGAATGCTCAGCTCCCCGGGCCGCGGTTTTTCCACCTTAATGGTGGACAGGTAGGAACGGCCTTTTGAAACCCGCGCTAACCTTGGCCAGGGACCTGCAAACCTGCCCAGGCAGGGCGTGTAGTCCTGAGCACGCGCAGCGGAAACGGGGCGGGGCGCCCGAGGCTGGGAACGCAGAGGAGCCTTCCGGGGGGCGGGGCGGGACCTCCCGTGCGGACCAATGGTGGGGCAGATGCCGATGTCAAAACGCGCGCTCAAGTGGCTCCTGCCAGGAATACCGGCTCTTAGGGAGGCGGAGGAGGTAGGAATGCCTGGGGCCAGCAGTTTGAGACCAGCCTGGGCAGTCTAAATCAGTCTCCTCTGTTTACTTAAACAAAACCAATAAAACGAGCACCGAGGGAAAAAGGAGTAAATCTCGGAGCTATCAGCAGCCCTGCGCTTGCAGCGGGCGCCCTCCCAAGAGTGGCTGCATCGCCTGGCACCCCCAGGGGCGGAACCGCATGGCCCTGGGCGCCGAGTGACCCTGGGCGCCAGCACCTCCTCCGCAGTGGGGCAAAGATGCCGGACCTGGGGGGAGGAGGGCCACGCCAAGATGACACAGGCTCGCGCGGGAAGGGAGGATGGCGACATCACCCGGCCTCTAACACGTATGCATCTTTCCACTACTTCTACAGTGGCTATGTTATTTACGTGGCCAGGAACTAAACTATAAAAGAAGCCACCTCTGGCTGCTTCAGTTACAGTGAGTATAACAGAAGCAAAAAAGCACAGAGCGCCCCAGGGCAACCGAAACGAGGGCTTTGGATGTTGATTACGGGAAATTGAAATCTGAGTTGGGTATGAAATGACACCAACAAATTATAATTTTGTTAGATAATGGCTTTATCAGCCATAAAATTGTCAATAAAAATACCAGTTTCCTGGAGATGGATGCTTTAGTGTGTTGGGGTGAAACTGGCATTGTCCGCAAGTTGCTTTAAACAAATGATGCTACATCAAAGTTTTAGTTGTGACTTTGTGTAAGGAATGTGATGCTCACTACTTATCCCCGCAACACGAGAATACTTTGAATACAAGTCTATAGTACTTTTAATTAATGGGAGAAACAGAGCTAGGTGGTGAGGGTTCCTGCCCCACGCCACCCTCTATAAAGTATCTTATCTAGAAAAGGCTTTGTAAAAAAAGTCCAGAATCTCTCTAAATAACAGCACCCGAGGGCAGCTGTTGAAGGTTTCTTAGGTTAATGATTTATTTCCTGGATCTTAAAGTTTCTTTCTTCTCCTTTATTTTTGGCATTTTGCCCATTGCAGGGCCTGGCAAATCAGAAAGCCAGTGAGTAGTATACTAATTCCTAGCTCTAAAAATCATTCTGTGAGCTGTCTCCCAGGAGTTTTTGCCCACTTTGTAATTAAACAACTTTTTTCTCCTTTTTTTTTAATGGCGGGGCGTGGTCTCACTATGTTGCCCAGGCTGGTCTCCAGCTCGTGGCCTCAAACAATCCTCCCGCCTGGGCCACCCAAAGTGCTGGGATTACAGGCGTGAGCCACCGTGCCCAGCCATTTTGCAGTTCTTAAGGCGAGGGTGACAATACGGGACAGGCGCCTGACAGGAGACAGGATTTCAGTGGAAAACTGCACCATGGGCCTTCTCTCCGTGTCCTGGAGTTTGAAGGTTTACAAAGGACTGCACATTTTCATGAGTCATCTCAACGAACACGCTTCTCACCGCCCCACGCGGTGGGTACTGTTATAAGTCCCATTTTACCCACGGGGACACCGAATCTGTAAGAAGTCTGGTCGCTTATCCCATTCACAGCAAAAGAAGCCGTGGGGCTCAGCGGCCCTAACTTTTAGGTTGTAGGGTCCTCGCCCACCACCCCGCCAAAGTGTCAGGCCTCCGGGCCCTTGCATCCCTACCCCGGGACACGGATCGAAAGGGTCGCAGCAACGCCTCCCCTGCAGCTGGGAGCGTTTTCCAGGCCGTTGCACCAACCTCGTTGGCTAAGCCCCCCGCTCGGCCGCCACCGGGCTGGGAGGAGGCACTTTTGGGAGGCGGCACTTTTGGGAGGCGGGGCCGGGGCCCGGGGATACTCTCGCGCCGGCGGGCTCCAATCGCTGCGCCTCACGCAACCCCAAACGGTTCCCTGGCGAACTGGCGCCCGCGCGCGCCAAGGCCTCCGAGACCCTCAGGGGCTGCGACCCTGGTCCCATGGGACCCATGGGGGCCCGGGCGGCAGCGCCCCCGACTCAGCCAGCGGATGGGGGGGTATCCCGGGAGGTCCCGGGGGCGTCCCCGGGGGTCCCCGGAAGGCGCCGGCGGAGGCTCCCGCGCAGCGCTTGAAAATTGCGCGCGGCCCCACGGCCAGCCTGGGTAGGGGCAAAGCGCAGCCAATGGGAAGGGTCGGGGCACCGCATAGCCAATGGGAAGGGCCGGGACCCTTGCCAGAGGTAGACCCAGGCCCGACTCGCCAAGGGCAAAGCGGGGCCCATGGGAAGGGCGGAGGCAGCGCACAGCCAATGGGAAGAGCGGGGAGTGCGCGGCGCGGGACATTTAAAGGCGGCTGGGTCGGTGTGCTGCCCGTGCGCCCCTTCCCAGCCGCCCGGCCCCGACTGCCAGCTCTCCTTCGTCGCGCCGCCACCATGCTCTCCGTCCGCGTCCCGCTCGCGCCCATCACGGACCCGCAGCAGCTGCAGCTCTCGCCGCTGAAGGGGCTCAGCCTGGTCGACAAGGAGAACACCGTGAGCGCGCGGGGCGGGCGCTGCGGGCGGGGGAGGGAGGCAGGGAAGGCGAGGCCGGCCGCCCCTCACTCACACGCGTGTCCCGCAGCCCCCGGCCCTGAACGGCACCCGCGTCCTGGCCAGCAAGACCGCGAGGAGGATCTTCCAGGAGCCCGCGGAGCCGGTGAGTGGCGGGCGCGGGGCAGAGGGGCGGGGGCGGCCTCGAGCCTCTTGGCGCCAAAGCTGCATTGTTTCCTCAGCGGTTCCCACTCCCGCGCCGGCTCGTTTCCCGCCAAGGCGGCCCCTCCCCCGGGCGGCCGGTTTCCCGGTTCGGGCGTGCGCGCCCCTGCTGTGACCCACGGAGCGCGACGGGGCAGCCCCGTTTCCTTCTACATGGGGCGCCACGAAATTGCCGCCAATGGAACGGACTTGGCCCGGGAACACGACAGTTTCACGAGGTTCGCCCGTACTTCAATGCTTGCTCTTCTCCCCCAGCAGAAGACCAGAGCGGCCGCCCCCGGCGCGGAGGATGAGCCGCTGCTGAGAGAGAACCCGCGCCGCTTTGTCGTTTTCCCCATCGAGTACCACGATATCTGGCAGATGTACAAGAAGGCGGAGGCCTCCTTCTGGACCGCCGAGGAGGTGAGCGGAGGACCCCCGGAGAGCCGGGCAGGGGCCCCCGGGACGCCTCGGAAATGCACTTGGGGGTTCGGGTTGGCGAGGGGGGCTGACTGTAACCTCGGAGTGGTCGGCGTGAGTCCTGCAGGCTCCGCTCTCTTCCTTTGTGCTGAAATTGTGACTGCCGAACCGCAGGTGGACCTGTCCAAGGACGCTCGGCACTGGGAATCCCTGAAGCCCGAGGAGAGACACTTTATATCCCACGTTCTAGCTTTCTTTGCAGCCAGCGATGGCATAGTGAATGAAAACCTGGTGAGTCTCCAGAACAAAACCTTGCATTCACTTGACGATCTGGGGTCGGACCAGTGCGCTCTCTTTGTCTCTCTTTGTAAGTCCAACATTTTCCTCGCTGAGTGCATATGTGTGTGTAAGCTGGTTTTTATATTACATGGCATTTCCTGTTTTTAACACACTTTGCAGTTCTTTCTTTTGCATGGTATTTTCCTGACTCTAGAGAAACTGAGGCCATGTTAAGTGGTAGTAATAGGCTGACTCCCTGTGGCCACCACATCTGCTCCCGCCTTTTTTTTTTTTTTAAAAAAAAACGGAGTCTCACTGTCACCCAGGCTGGAGTGCAGTGGCGCGATCTTGGCTCACTGCAACATCTGCCTCCTGGGTTCAAACGATTCTCCCGCCTCAGCCTCCTGAGAAGCTGAGATGACAGACGTGCACCACCACGCTTGGCTAATTTTTGTATTTTGAGTAGAGACAGGGTTTTACCGTATTGGCCAGGATGTTCTCAAATTCCCAACCTCAGGTGATCCGCCCGCCTTGCCTCCCAGAGTGCTGGGATTACAGGCGTGAGCCACCATGCCCTGCTCTGCTCCCTCCTTTTGGTGGCTTTGCTGTTTTAATAGCAATTTGGTTGTATCTCTTATTATGAACAGATCTTTCTTGACATAAATTAGGATTTCTGTGAGCGCTCAATTATTTCCTAATTTATATGTTTCTATTTCCTGATCTTAAATTGAGCATATGATACAAAATATCACATTTTATCACAGAACTGTGAGGAATTGGATGAAATATATATAGAAAGAAATATAATGGTACAGAACGTGATGCTTCCACTATCCATTTACAAGAGTTGCTGCGGCTAGTTTTTTCCCAAGCTTGACTTTGTGTTTTGCCACTAGGTGGAGCGATTTAGCCAAGAAGTTCAGATTACAGAAGCCCGCTGTTTCTATGGTTTCCAAATTGCCATGGAAAACATACATTCTGAAATGTATAGTCTCCTTATTGACACTTACATAAAAGATCCCAACGAAAGGTGAGTATTCAAGTGGTATGCCAAGATTTTTAGGACTCTTTAATTGTTGATTTATGACAAAGTTTTAGTTCATGTAGGGATAAAAATGACTCCAGAATGACTAAGCAGACAGTCATAGACATTTCCAGCACCTGTGGTCATGTCTGCTCTTAGCAAGGGGCCTAAATTCACTTTATAATTCACGTAGAGTTGTGAAAGTGCTCCACTTTTAGAGTTGAATGCCTACCAATCTAAAGCCTTCTTTTAAAGGAATTCCTACATGTTGGGTAAGACAAACTAAAACCTATGTCTGACCATCTTTGGTCATTTGGTAAATTTGTTGAGAAACTAGAATGTGGGGCTGCAGCAGGATGAAGGGCGGGGAGGACTTCCTGCTAAGGAGTTGCAGTACACTATAGGCAAATAAGAGGAGTTACACAGGCAGAGGCAGCAGTGAGCCCTGAGATTGATTTAGGCATGCAGCAGTTTGGCTGAATAAAGGTAGCATAAGGTCTGTTTTATGTTTTGGAGATTGATTGGAGGCGATGGGTTAGAAACGGGCTGTTGGAGTAGTCTAGACACTAAGGTCAGCTTTAGGGACTGGAGCCTCTGTATGGAGTAGAAGTGGTGCTGATACCTAATGTGGCTGTTGTAAAATTAGAAGTACGTGAACAGGAAAGTGGTAACTTGAAAGGACTGAGGAAACTCGTTCTGGGTGAAGAGATTTGAATATGTTTATGTAGGTGGAAATTGAGAAACGAAGGCAAAGATTGGGGGCAAATGACCAGAAGGAGAATGGGTGGGATCAGGAAGTTCTGCTGGAGAAGCCTCAAAAGCAAGGGAGAAGCAGACCCAGGTCTCAAAGAGAAGGACAGTGAGATGGAAAGAGAATAAAAGGCAGCTGGATGCGGTAGTGTGAGCTGGTAGTCCCAGCCACTTGACACAGTGAGGCAGAAGGATGGCTTGAGCCCAGGAGTTTGGTTTTTTTTTTTTTTTTTTTTTTTTTTTTTGAGACGGAGTTTTGCTCTTGTTACCCAGGCTGGAGTGCAATGGCGCGATCTTGGCTCACCGCAACCTCCGCCTCCTGGGTTCAGGCAATTCTCCTGCCTCAGCCTCCTGAGTAGCTGGGATTGCAGGCACGCACCACCATGCCCAGCTAATTTTTTGTATTTTTAGTAGAGACGGAGTTTCACCGTGTTGACCAGGATGGTCTCGATCTCTTGACCTCGTGATCCACCCGCCTCGCCCTCCCAAAGTGCTGGGATTACAGGCTTGAACCACCGCGCCCGGCCTAGGAGTTTGGTTTTAACATGAGCTATGATTATCTCACTGCACTCTAGCCTGGGCAACAGAGTAAGACCCTCATCCCTTAAATAAATAAATAGAAATGAAAGCTGCCCAATGTCTGGTGACCTTGGCTTCAGAACACAAGGTCATCTGGGTAGGAACAGGCTGGGAAATCAGCAGCCTCTCAAGGTGGGCACCAGAATAAAGGGAGGCAGAGGTGAGTGGTAAGGGAGACCCACTTAACTGTAATACCCATGGATTTACTTTGCTGACCTGGGATTGACAGTATAGGACAGAATTTTAGTAGGAAGCAATCTTAGTTTATTGGTTTAATTATTTTATGATACAGATGTGGCAATTGGGGCCAAGTAATGCACCCAATGATAGTCCGATAATAGCATGGCAGTTAGGATTTTATGGTTTTTTAAATTTAAATTTTATGGTTCGTCACATGGAACTATGATCTGGACTTGAAATAATAAAGGCAACAAATGTCCCTGCTGTACTGAACCACGTTTTACTGTTTGTAGACCCTGAAGCTCCATATGAACTACAGAATACCCACATTTGTATTAACGTAGATCAAAAGTTGAGACTTAACACTGGAGGGAAAAGCTGACCAGTAAAATAAAACATTTCGATGTGGGTTCTTCCTTTGGGAAGAGAATCAGCAAATACTTGAATTTGGCCTTTGTCCCAGAGCTCTTATCTAGCAGCTGGTAATCGGGGGTCTTTCACTGTAATGCTTCAATTGCTGATGCTGTGTGTGCCTACTAGGGAATTTCTCTTCAATGCCATTGAAACGATGCCTTGTGTCAAGAAGAAGGCAGATTGGGCCTTGCGCTGGATTGGGGACAAAGAGGCTACCTATGGTAAGGAGACCCTTGCCCCTACTTCAACCTGAGCTGCATTTTCCGTGTAATGTTACTGGATGGTTGACTCTTCCTATGAATACCAACAGTTACTCACTAGAATAATATTGCTGTTAACTCTTAAATAGGTGAACGTGTCGTAGCCTTTGCTGCAGTAGAAGGCATCTTCTTTTCTGGTTCTTTTGCATCCATATTCTGGCTCAAGAAACGAGGACTGATGCCTGGCCTCACATTTTCTAACGAACTTATTAGCAGAGATGAGGTGAGTCTAAATCAAATCATAGGGTAACCTGAGCCCCAAACACACCTCGGGCATGCTCTGGTGTTTACTGATGGGGACCTGAGATACTAGATGGCATATATCCACGTTTAATGTGTGAGTTCAACCGTACACATACTTTACAAAAGAAGGAAATACTTTACTGAAGTTACTTGTATTCTCTATAATACATTACTACATATGTATTGCCTTATAGGCTTTGAATGCATAAAAAAGTACAAGTTTGTTTTTTGGGTGGATGGAATCTTGCTCTGTCACCCAGGCTGGAGTGCAGTGGTGCGATCTTGGCTCACTGCAGTCTCCGCCTTGCGGGTTCAAGCGATTCTTCTGCCTCAGCCTCCCAAGTAGCTGGGATTACAGGTGCCCATCACCATGCCGGGCTAATTTTGTATTTTTGTAGAGATGGGATTTCACCACATTGGCCAGGCTGGTCTCGAACTCCTGACCTCAGGTGATCCTCCCGCCTTGGCCTCCCAAAGTGCTGGGATTACAGTTGTGAGCCACTGCACCTGGCCAAAACTACAAATTCTTGATGGGATTGGGATTTTTAAGGGATGTTTTATTATTTTTGCGTGGTATTATATGTGACCCCCTTTTCCATAAATGTTCATAGTAGCCATTATGTTTCTCCTGTTTGATCTAGAAATTACCTCTCTACTTCAGTGTTAGCATCTCAGTGGAATGAACATACATTTTGGTCTAGCGTGTGTCTTTGGTTAAGTCACATTTGAAAAGGAAGAAGCCAAACTTGGCTGGTCTTACCTTATAGGAAGACCTTCCTTACTGGATTGGGAGATAAGTTGTAAAGCTTGGGGTTTAATGCGCTAACTTGCAAATTTGATTTACTTGAAATTGCATACAAATTTCTTGAACATATAAAAACTAACCTTATCACTGAATTTTGCCTTTCCTGCTGGGAGTAGTGGCAAAATAAGTGTTCATGGCTGTAAAAAGAATATTTTGAGTGAAGCTCTGACTCCTCCTTTGCCACCACACAGAGCAGAGCAAGAAATAGACTGCCTGTTTTTATCTAGGTGGCAACTTTGAGGGCCTTAAGTGGGACTGAGCTTGCCTTGGTGACATCAGCAGAAGAGAAGCCATTAGTTAGTCATCTTCCCATTGAGAGTTGAAGTGCTCTCAATATGAGTATGTTGGATAAAGAGAATGCAGAAAAGGATAAAGTAATTTCATATTCTATGTTAATGACAGAAGTCCTCTGGCTTTAGTGATCTTGAACTTTTTTTTTCTAGGGTTTACACTGTGATTTTGCTTGCCTAATGTTCAAACACCTAGTACATAAACCATCAGAGGAGAGAGTAAAAGAAATAATTATCAATGCTGTTCGGATAGAACAGGTAAGTGGGTGAGGAAAGGGGTCATTCAAGCTTGCTAGAAAATGTCTGCTTTCGTTGTATTCAGAAGCTGTATTTTGGTTCCTAGGAGTTCCTCACTGAGGCCTTGCCTGTGAAGCTCATTGGGATGAATTGCACTCTAATGAAGCAATACATTGAGTTTGTGGCAGATAGACTTATGTTGGAACTGGGTTTTAGCAAGGTAAAGTATTGTTTACATAGCCTTCTGCTTGTTTTGAAACTGGTGCTCTGTATTTATATCTTGATGTGAACCTTTTCAGGTTTTCAGAGTAGAGAATCCATTTGACTTTATGGAGAATATTTCACTGGAAGGAAAGACTAACTTCTTTGAGAAGAGAGTAGGCGAGTATCAGAGGATGGGAGTGATGTCAAGTCCAACAGAGAATTCTTTTACCTTGGATGCTGACTTCTAAATGAACTGAAGATGTGCCTTTATTTTGCTGATTTTTTTTTCCATCTCATGAAAAAAATCAGCTAAAGTGTTATCAACTAGCTACACCATGCATTGTCCATAATGTTCATTAACAGCATCTTTAAAACTGTGTAGCTACCTCACAACCAGTCCTGTTTGTTTATAATGCTGGTGCTATCACCTTTTGCTAACAGGCTGGCTGGCTGTTACTTACCATAGCAGTGACAGTGGCAGTCTTCTTGGCTTTAAAGTGAGGGGTGACTTTCTAGTGAGCTCAACACGGCAGGATTAAACATTTCATTTAACCAGCACAGGCAGTTGAAAGATGCAGCCTCACTGCTTCAATGCAGATTTTAATGTTTACTTAAATATAAAACTGGCACTTTGCAAACAAACATTGTTTGTACTCAAAAGATGATAATAACTTGATTTATTTGGTTTCTACACCAAGCACAAAGCATTCTCCTGACCACTAACAGGAGCCAATTCACAATTCACTAAGGGACTAAATAAAGTAGGTTAAACTTGTATAGACTAAGCATGTAATTTCTTTTATTTTAATGAATTAAAATACTCATTAACCAACTTTAAAGTCAATACTGTGTTTACCTAGATATTAGTCTGTTGGTGCCAGATACAAGATGGGTTGTGTGTTTCTCCTGTGGCTTGGGTAGTGTTCTGGGATTCTCTGCCCCATCTGAGTAGAGTGTTGTATGATCAAGGAATCTCTCAGGGCAAGGAGCTTCTTAAGTTAAATCCCTAGAAATTTAGGCATGATCTGGGCCTTCATATGGGTGAGAAGCCGCTTCATTTTATTTCTCACTGTAGTTTCCCCAACTTCTAGTTGATAAGATCCTTGAAGAGTTTTCATATGTGGGAGCTAAGGTAGTCTTGTAAAATTTCAAGTCATCCTTAAGCAAAATGACCCACCTAAGATCTTGCTCCTGTTAAGAGACAAAATTGTTGTTTATTCTAGTTTTGTTTGTATGTAAGTAGGTTGTGTGAGTTAATTCATTTATATTTACTATGTTTTTTAAATTAGAAATTTTTAAATTATGTCCTTTTAGATTTGCCTGTAGTTCATACTTTGAAATAATTACTGGTGTCTTATTCTAGCATTGTCTAAATCTGACCATCATCTAGGCGAATCTTAAACTTCAGTAGGAAACCATGAGTTATAAATACAGTTTCCATTCCAATATTCATTTCAGACAGAAACAAATATTTTTTTTTTTTTTTTTTTTTTTGAGACAGAGTTTCGCTCTTGTTACCCAGGCTGGAGTGCAATGGCGCGATCTCGGCTCACCGCAACCTCCGCCTCCTGGGTTCAGGCAATTCTCCTGCCTCAGCCTCCTGAGTAGCTGGGATTACAGGCACGTGCCACCATGCCCAGCTAATTTTTTGTATTTTTAGTAGAGATGGGGTTTCACCGTGTTGACCAGGATGGTCTCGATCTCTTGACCTCATGATCCACCCGCCTCGGCCTCCCAAAGTGCTGGGATTACAGGCGTGAGCCACCGCGCCCGGCCAAAACAAATATTCTTAATAGGGCTACTTTGAATTAATCTGCCTTTATGTTTGAGAGAAAAGAAAATCTGTCTTTATGTTTAGAAGCCGTGAGTCATTAATACAGTTTCCATTCAAATATTAATTTCAAAAGGAAACAAACAAATATTCTTAATAGGGCTACTTTGAATTAATCTGCCTTTACGTTTGGGAGAAAAAAGTTGAGACATTGCTTGAAAGATGATGCAAGATAAATGTTGACTTTTGGCCCCATTTGTTAATTGTATTCACTATTTGAACATTGTTGTGTTCTGTTGTTAGTTTTCATCATTTATTGTATAGTCAATTTTTAAATCTTTATATATCTTTTCCTAGCTTGTGAGTTATTATCAGGTAAAGTTAATGAATCCAGATTAAAATAAAGAAAGGCTTTGCCTTGCATTGTGGGATACAGGCAGAAGTTAGAATCAGGTTTTAGGATTCTGTCTCATTAGCTGAATAATGTGAGGATTAACTTCTGCCAACATAAAGTATGTTTTGTAAAGGCTAATGAGTTCATTTGCTTTCCACTGGTTCTGGGCAAGAGACTTGCCTTGTGCCTGTTCTGGCACATGGTATATAGGAGACAGGTAGACCCAAAAGGTGGTGCCCAAAATTAAAAACTGCCATAGTGCATGTGGGGTCTGTGAAGCCGGGGCCAAGGTAACCTCGCCACTGTGGGAAGCCACTCCTGGGCCTCTTTTCCCCATTTGCAAAACAGGCGGGGCTACAGGTCTTCCCAGCTGGCGTTTTGCTTTGCTGTCCCTCATCTGACTGACCTGTGTGGACTCCTGCACAGGTTGGGATCATTCCCTCTGTCTATAAAAGCCCTTTCCTGACTTGGAATCCTACCCACTTTCATAAAGCCTTTTAGAATTCCTGACACCCATCCATCCCCAGATGAACCAATTATTATTCCTTGTACCTCAGGCCACTGCCATTCAGTTCATTGAACAAGCAGCAGCTCTCTCAGGTACCATGTTCCACCTGCATTTTAATTCAGGAAGATAGGTCCTGAGCCAGAGGGGAGGCCCTTCTTTCTGGAGCTCAGGTTTACTCCTAGAGAGGGAAACTGATGGATGAGTAGATTGGAAGTGTTGGGCAGTGAATGGGAGCAGCAGAGAATTCTAAGGTGGGTGGGAGTGGTTGGGAGAGGCCTCATGGGGAGACGATGTATCCTTGGAGGGGTACCTGGGACTAGTGTTTGAAGTGCTGCTTCCCACTCCTGCTTCCTCATTAAGATTCCTTCCCCCTTCCCGTGCTGCTCTGTAAGAGAAAGTTGTCTTTGAGGACACACGTTTTTACCTATCTCTAATTTCTAAGCACAAGGCCTTCAAGGGTCAGGTATTTAAGTGACTGATGCATGAGGAAATAAACGAATTGGAACTGAAGTATTTTGGGATGGATGGTAACTTTGGTAAAGGTGTGTTCTGTGTCCCAGAGGACCCTGGTAGAGAGCTTTGCCTTTGCACCTACAGGTGTTCAGTGAAGGTCATTTGATTTGTAATGTCAGGTCTGTTGCAGAAGTTCAGGGCAGCCAGGCTTCAAGATGATGACCAACTACAAGAACAGTTCCCCTGCGGGTGGCCTGCAGCCCTGTTCTGCTCCCCTGTCCCCAAGCCAGCTGCCATACTCTATAGAACATGTCTGCCATGCTGCCCGAGGAGGGCCTGCAGAGTTCGGTGAGTGGTCAGGCTGCTGAGCTGATTGTCTTGGGTACTCATTAGATCATCCTCCCCCTGAATCAGTCTGGGGGTAAAACCAGGGACCCTGTAATCTTAATGGGAGATCTCAGACATTTCAGATTAGGTGGGATGGGCTGCTGACATACAGGTCAAACCAATGGGTTTCAGCCCTGGATGTGAATTATAATCACCTGGGGGCTTTTAAAAGCTACCAATTTCTGGCTCTCACTTCTGGAAAAGACAGCCCTGCTCAGTTTTAGCATGTTCCAGATGTTTCCTGATGTGCATCAGTTCTAGACATGTTTATGTAAGGGTTACATTTCATTGTGTGTGCACGTTCGTGGCACTGCCCAGCTGCAGTGGCCCTGCCTTGCTGCTAAGAGCAGACCTGCAAAAACCTCCCTTCACCTGCTGGTACTGCTGTGGCCTCTGACCTGAGGACTTCATCCTTACGAAGCAGGAACCAGATGGGTGTTTAACTGCCACCTGACTGGGGAGATAACTGGCTGTATTTTGAGGATCAGTGATCCTGCCAGTGTTGGTCTGGAGATCCCGATAATGGTTTAACGCCTCTTAGCAAGACAGCCACAGGCCCAGCCCCTCATCAGTGAGTGGCCACAGCAGGACTGTGTGGCTTGGTCTCTTCCAGCTGTCCCTCTGGAGTGCAGAGGGCTACCCTCCTGGTGTCTGTCTGGACACAGGGAACACATCAGTGGTGTCTCCCTGCCATTCCCTGGAGGGAATATGTTACATCAGGATTTTTTCTTTAATTATGAGAATGGCTGAGCCCATTGCTGCTTAAGGTTCATTAGTCATGTTTACCTTAGCCTTGGCTCTAGAGACTGGAGTGGCTCAAGCAAGGTGGTGGACTAAGGAACCAAACTCCTCCTGCTTCAAACACCTGCGTATGATAAATAGCACAGCAAAAAGTTAAGTAGGTAGGCCAGGTACAGTGGCTCACGCCTGTTATCCCAGCTACTCAGGAGGCTGAAGCAGAATTATTTGAACCTGGGAGGTGGAGATTGCAGTGAGCCGAGATCACACCATTGCACTTTGGCCTGAGCAACAAGAGCAAAACTCCATCTTGGGAAAAAAAAAAAGTTAAATAGATGGTCACCTCTTGGGAAAGGAGAATGACCTCTTTGGGGAACAAAGGAAGTGACCATGGAACCCCAGAGCCCATAGCAGCCCTAGGAGTGGTCATTAGTCCCTTAGAGAAACTGAACAGTGACAGCTGATGGGCAGTTGGATTTGGAGGGAGAGGTTGATCTAAACCAGGGGAGGAGTTGGGACCAAAACCTCGGTATAAAGTCAGGGCCCCAGTAACACAACAGATAAAAGGAAAAAATAACATGGTACGGTGAAGAAATACGTTTTCAGAATCAGGAAGAATGGGATACAGCGTAACTATTGGAGTTCAGGCTCAGAGCTCTTTCAACACAGCTTAGATTAGACAGCTGAGGAGTGGGCGCATGAACTGGAAGGGATGTGTCTGAGGGAATTATTGGAAAGTAGATGGAAGAAAGCATGGAGAGTGGA